TCAGCATCCATCCTGTGTTGCCATTTTATATGAAAACATGATTAGACGTTACTGCACACTCCCTCCATAACAGGCACTCAGCTTTCTTGTGTGCTGAGAACTGTCAACATAAGTTATCTTTGGTCCTCAGTTTCACACAGCTCAAAGTCCCATCCCAATGCCCTCTTGATGGGTTTTTGCCTCACGTTCATCCTATGTCATACAACAGTGTAAAGCACTACCCATTTTGCCTAGAAAGTCTTGCACACTTATATTGGGTGAGGTGACACTTGTATATTTTCCTGAGAACTGTGGTTGTCACATAGAAAAAGTCACACTGTGTGTTGCATAGAAATACATTTATTTGCATGTAACCTCAACTCTGGTATCTTTTGATGACAGATTGTGTGTCCCTACTAAACCTGAGGGCCTCCTGAGTCCAGTTTCATCTTCTTGTTTGTGCCTTTTAGGGAAAACCTCCACCTCAACCCATTCTAGACCTGTGGAGAAAAAAGGAAAAACGTTTTTGTTGTATGCACCACTTTCATAATCCTATACCTTTAAAAACCATCTACCAGTTTGCCCCCATATCTTTAAAAACCATCTATCAGTGTGCCCCTTTCCTTCAAGCCCTATCTCTCAAGAAAGAATTACCAAATACAATTTAAATATCTATTCTGAATAAAACATTCAATAATGGGTGACAGGAGTAGTCATGAAGCCCATGGAATTGCATTTCTGCATGGCTTCCTGTCAAGAGACCCATAAGCAATGTGGAGTAGAGTGTCTGACAGTCATGGTCCCTCCACAGTGAATTGTTACTCAGTCTTTACTCATTTTTATTGTGCTTCCACGGATCTTGAGCTGATTCCAAGACCCTTTCCAGTATCATCACTCAACTTTTAAACACCAGTGGTGACCTCACACTGGTATGCAGTGCCTCACACCAATTATTGTTTTCAAAGCTGAATGTCCAGACATACATCAAAAGAAAACGGAACACTCTGCTAGCAAAAAAAAAAAAAAAAAAACAAAAAAAAAAAACCAGGGCCCCAATCAGCACGGCGGCATGGCTTCACTCAGATCTATTTAATTATGAAGTCAGTTTATCCTTCAACTGCCTCAATTAATATAACAAAATGCAAAAGGTCATTGATCATTTTGCTGAGAGCTAAGAGCAAAATATAACCAGTTTTGGAACACTTTGTTAATATGCAGAAAGCAAGAGAACATGGATAGAGTCCAGACACAGAATGTATTGCTGCCCTTTAAAGGATGGCATTAGAATGTTAAAGGCTAACTGGTTTGTATTCATTAACCAACCACTGCTTTCAGAATGAAGTGTTCTGAAAGTGAGTCTCCCAGTCATAAAAAAAAGTGCGAGAGCCACAGCACTTTGCTAATTTAAAGGATTCTTATCTCACACATATTTGGTAAGAATAAACATTTACCCAGCAATACAACCATTCACTGAGCATGTGTTATGGGTTAGGCTTCTGTACTGAGGGCTCCTCCTGACTTTTTATCCCCAAGATGTGTTTCCTAAGTGTCATCTTGATTTATTTTTCTTGAGAAGTCGAAAGCAGAGCACTGGACTTATACTATAAGGAATCCAAAATTGGTAAAGAACTTGTTCACAAATTAAGATTTCCTGCTATGATGCCTGGAAAATCACTCATTAAACAAAGAGGTAAAGAGCTGTCAATAGAAACTCTTTAAGGACAGGTTTGGACGTCAACTTTTTAGCCTTAGCAAAGCTCCTCGGCGCTGGAGAGGACAACAGAATACAAGAGAGTACAAGGGAAGTTTAAACGTGGGTCATGGTCTGTGCCCCACGTTCCTGGAAGGCAGATACAAACTAGAAAACCTTGACACTGTCTATCAGTTCCACCTTCTTTTTCTACTCCATTCATTCATTGACAGCAGCGAATCCCAAGACCACACACAGAATCTTTCCCCCTCTGAATCATTCACAGAATCAAAGTTTAGGTATTTTTCTCAATCAGTACAAGAATCCCAACTAAATATCCTATGTCTTCCTAGGAAGACTAATAAGTTGATCTCTGACAATTAATTAAAGTGTCACCAGGTCCCACGAAACCAGAGCCTAATAAATGATTTGCAATTAATTGCACTGTGTCTTAAGAAACGCGAGTTTCCATTACTTTTCATGGCTATTTTCTGCATTTCAATTTTCTTGTTTGTTTCCTTGGGAAGCAGATTGGTGTGAAGGACTCCTGACTGCCTTGGGGCAACTGTTTGTCCCCTAATCAGGACACTAAATGGAGGACTTCAATTGGGGGCCAAAAGACATGGGGGGGCAGCATGGAGATTTCAGGTTTCCAGTGATGTGTGGTAGCAATACCAACCCTTCGAGATTGTCCACAAACAAAATCTATAGAAGTAGATGTCGTAGTGAATGAACAGGAAGGGAAAGACAATAAGAACCAGAGTCAAGGGTGTAGGCTCAACAGCTGCTCTGTCACCTGCAGCAGGCTCCTTTGCTCAGCTTCTCTGAGCTCATTTCCCACTTCCTCATCAACAAAATGGAAAGACCAACTTCTCCCGCAGATGCTCCAGTGATGTGAAAGAAATCAGCTAATTCCAAAGGCCTCAGCTATTAGCTATGACTAGAACTCTATTAGATTCTAGAGAGTGATTAAAAATAATTTTTTATCTGGCTCTTTTTATAAAGTGTGTTGACGTCTTAAATGTGGCTGAAAAAGCAAAAGAGATCCTGTCCCCACTAATAATGACTGGATGCGGTCTCTATCCTGAACACTGGTCCTTCAAGCATCTTATTCCTCATTCTCTCCTGTATCATAAATGTTTTCCTTTATGGAACTGCTTCCTAAGGAAACAAAAATGCTGTGCTATAGTCCATCTTCGAAAGAAAGAAAGAAAGAAAGAAAGAAAGAAAGAAAGAAAGAAAGAAAGAAAACAGATTTTTTTCTCTCCCCTCTCTAGTAAGTGTGTGTGTGTGTGTGTGTGTGTGTGGTGTGTACTGTGTCTGGACAAACAGAAAAGGAACATGGACTGTGATTCCCTAGAACTGGCACTTAAAAGGGCTGTGAGCCACCTGATGAGCATACTGGGACCCCGATCCTGGAAGAGCAGCAAACATTCTTAACCGCTGAGCATCCTTCCAGACCCTAGTCTTCTATTTTTAAGAACAGCATAAAAATATGGATCCCAACTATTTTGGTTTCATCTTACTCTGTGTCTTTCTTGCGTTCTAATATATCTGTAAAGTCAATTAGTGTTTTTGCTATGTATCATAATGACAATTATCTTTCAAAGTTAAAGGAGTATTTCATATTATTATATAAGATATCAGTTTAAAAATGTACCAACCAGTACTTTTACTGCTACAGATGGAACAGAAGTAAAAGGTAACAGAAAGAGCCACAATCAATCACATACAACTCCAAAGTTTCATAGCTGTATCAGTGATTACAACTAAATATTTAAAGTATGAATAAAATTAATGTAATATGTATGCACTATTAAATAGTATCCAGCAATGAAAAGAAATAAGCAACCAATACAAGCTGCAGTACAGGTCACTAAATATCTCAACCTGTGCACAATTGACTGTATGTTTCATTCATATAAAATATTTGAAGTAGGTAACTCTATAGGATCACCGCTTAGATTAATAGTGGTCTAGGCTTTGGGAAGGAGGAAGTGGGGAGGACGTGATCGCTAAAGGGGAGCACTCCACCTGCTTTTTTTTGTCTTGTCAACTCACTTCACCTCAGTATTGGAAGAGAAAGAATATACTTCTGATATTGGTCACTAGAACATCTACAAAGTGTGAACTAAAGAAGTTGGTTTCTCTCAAAGCAACAAAAAATATCTAAAGAATATCAATTAGTTATTATCTGCATGCAAAGATGATCTCTGCAATAATTACGTACATTCATCATGTAGTTGGGAAACTATGATCTCTCTATAATGCCCTTAATGGGAGGTTAGAATTTTATGGTGCTTTAGTCCCACCCCACTCATTATTTTAATTATTCAATAACTCTGTAAAGTGAAGAAAACATAGCAGGCAGATCTTCAGATGTCCAAAAGGAAGAATAACTTGATTAAGATCTTAAAACTACTTGTAGAATCAAAGCCAGGTGATCTTACTGTAAGTCCAATGTGAACAATGCCAGATTTCACTGAGCGCCCTTGATCACCTCACTCCAGCAGGACTCCCATTCCCTGGTCTGAAAACTGGCAGACACAGTACTCCCTCCAAGTGATTATAATCTTTTCATTTCTGATTAGAAATACGCAACGCTTGAGTGTTACCTGATACCGAGAAGACATGCCACAGCTCCTGCAATTTTTCTGCATCTTAAAGCACAATTATGTTATCACCTTTGATGATGGAAGGTACTTTGGTCCCATCTTACAGATGGCCTATGAGGAAGTCTAGGATAATTTCCTACAGTTAAGGTGATGGATTTAGAAATATGTCTCATAGTATTTGTCACAGACACATTTGGAAGCAGCAAGGAAAGCCTTAGCTGGACTAATCCCACCTACTGTTGAAGTGGGTCGCTCCTGACGGCATTGCATTTTAGGTACTCAGAGGTCCCTGTAGGTTGGGACTTTTTTTCTATCAAAGAAATGTGTCTTAAAATCTCTAGGAGTTCTTAAGATAGAAAGCCCTGGAAATACTTAGGTGAGACATCCTTCAACAAAGAGTAGCGGGCAGCTGGTGAATAAATGTCTTTTTGACAGATAATTCTGGAATACAGAATTTGAGTTCAGTTGTCCAAGCGAGAGCTATCTCAGCTAAACTCCGATTTTGTTCTTTCCTCCTGGGTCACATTCTTCTCTGCTCCCTCAATTCTACTTTCTGGGTTAAACTTCACAAAAAAAAAAAAAAAAAAAAAAACCTGACTGAAAGGCAGTCTTAGACTACATCTTGGAAAAGATAACTGTGGAAGGGAAGAAGGCGGCAGGATTAGCTTGATTTGTTTCTGTTGGTGTCTGTACTGCATCTCTCTGTTTCTCCACAGGTCACCAAGATGCTGGCAGTGGTTGTAATTCTGTTTGCCCTTTTATGGATGCCCTACAGGACTCTTGTGGTTGTCAACTCATTTCTCTCTAGCCCTTTCCAGGAAAATTGGTTCCTGCTCTTTTGCAGAATTTGCATTTACCTCAACAGTGCCATCAACCCAGTGATTTACAACCTCATGTCTCAGAAATTCCGTGCAGCCTTCAGAAAGCTCTGCAATTGCAAGCAGAAGCCCACAGAGAAACCGGCCAACTACAGCGTGGCTCTAAATTACAGCGTCATCAAGGAGTCAGACCGGTTCAGCACAGAGCTGGATGACATCACCGTCACTGAGACTTACGTGTCAACCACAAAAGTGTCATTTGATGACACCTGCTCGGCTTCTGAGGTAACCTTTAGTCAGAGCTGATTCATGAATAAGAAGCAAGTGAATCATAGTGAAATTCTGTGCTGTGATCTATGCGAGAGAAAACAGACAATACTTACCCTGGAGACACAGCAGGCAGGCTTGCCTTTAATTCTACAAGTCTTGGCCCTGAATGCTTTAACCCATGACAGTGTTTTTTCACTTTCCTTCTTTCCAAACTAGAATCACAAAACTGGGGTCTGTCTCTGAAGGGGATAAGTGATAGAAACTAAAGGGCAGTTCGCTTTCATTTAAAGTGAGAAATCCTTCTCTTTCCTGGGGTAAAGACATTGCCATGAAATCTTGACAATAGTTTAAATTCTTCACAAAAACGTTATCAAATGTGATTTTATACACACATGCTCCAAATATCTACACGTTTTGCAGTTTGAAAAAAAATGTGATTTTAAAATGATTTAATTAAGCATTTCATTTAACAACGTATAGTACTGTTTTATGAATATCTAAGCTACATGTTTAAAAATGAACTAGAAACTCAAAATACCCCCCAAATCATAAACATGAGGATTTGATGTGAAGCAAACCTAAGTTTTGTCAGCTCTTAGGTTTCCGAAATGATGAATGGAATAAAGGCATGCCCAGTCTAAACTTCTGTGAAGCGACCTCCCAACATACAATGAAATTCAAATATATAGCAAGTGCCAGGCTGGGTATTTAAAACATGCTTTCACTTTTTTTCTCAAAACCATTAAAGCCAAAATCCCCTTTGAACCTTCTTGTTCATCAGCTAATGAGCTATGTCAAGCAAATTCGTCCAGCTGGGCCATGCTTAAAAGTCTGAAGCAGTTTCTGAGGTTCAGCTGTTTGAAATCAGTCAAATTCTTGCTATTTTGTCTCAACGCGAAGACACCCGATTCTGAGTTGGACTTTAACTTGCCTCCAATTGTCTTTCCCTGCTCTCCCTTGTCATTTTTCAGACTTACTTCACTTCAAATACCTAGGATATTTTGTTTACAGATTCTAAATTAAAACACTGCAAACCTCCTGAGTTTATTTTAAACTGATTTCAGCCTATTATTGCTAGCTCATCTGTACAGGTTGAACTTTGACCTAGCCTTCTAGTTATTATTAGACAGGTATGAATGTGCCTCTACCCAGGAAGCTTACAGGTATTATTTTAATCCTCTTCAAATAACTCACCCACTGGGATAAAACCAGTCAGATATTGAAGACTATAAATTGGTCTTGGTGAGAGCTTCATAGTCATTAATTTTTAATAGTTGGGCCTAAAAGCCATATTTTAAAGGCCCCGTAAAGCTGTCACTTTCCTCTCTCCAGCATATATCTTTATTTTATGGTTTTTCTTTAAAGTTTATTTGATAATGATAATTAACCCTTTAAACCTTCTTAATAAAGAATATATTGAGTTCATGAGGATCCTATCATCCAGGATCCATTCTAGGTATACTTGTATGAAATTTTCTTCATCTACTCCAGAAAGACATTTTTCTCCTTCCACATTATCAGTAAAAAGATGCAACCAAAAATTTACAGAAAGGACCAGAAGTTTACCTGCATAACACTAAGCAATCTATTTTATTTAATTTCTATTCTGGATTAATTACTATTGGAGAAATATAGATAGGAAAATAGAATGACCCAACCTCAAATCACATAAGCACATATTTAGGTGCAAGAAAATACACATCCACATGTACAAAAATTTATGTAAAATAGAATAGGAATATTTTAAACATCCTACATTAGGGAGAGGAAATAATCTAATTGAACATCTACTATGTGTTTAACACACTGGTAGACTCTTAAGCACCGTTATCTCAGTTACCGTGTCTTCAAACATCGTGTGGCAACTACAGAGAGGGAAATTTTTTTTCTTTTTGTAAAGTTGATAATTAAATTATCGTGACCCAGTGGCCACACAATACATACAGACACATATGAATAACAGTATCAGATATTGCAAACAACATGTTTAACCTAATATACATATATATGCATGATAAATCCACTTTTCTGACCTTAGAACATTCAATATATAGCCTCAGTTTTTCCCTTTTAAGTTTTGAAAAGTTGTTTGTTAGCCTTTTTTTTTTTTAGATCAGATGAGAAATTCAAAAGAATTCAGTCCATAGTGTTTCACCTTCAAAGAAAATGCCATTCTAAAAGTAAACGTTTCTGTGTAATGGCCAACAGATAGCTGAATTTACACCAAGGAGGTATAACTTTCTAAAATATTCAGTATCATGCTGCATTAACTCATAAAGTATCTCCATAGATAATCAGAACTATATATCATCAAATGGAAACTACAGGACCAAATTAAGTTGTGCTGGTGTAGAGAAATCATCTTATTAAGAGACTCCCTAAGGTTCCTAGCATTGTAATATTACTTCTAATTCTGTTCATTGCTGAGGGACTTTGGGGAGATTGCACACCTGAGGAAAGTGTGCAAAGGTGGATGAATCCCAAAAGCAAATAAAGAATCCCTCTTAGGGTTTCTTCCTCTGTTTGGGCAAACCTTTCAAGTTTGACGCAGATCACAAGTATTCTACATGCTGAAGTTAAATGGGAAAGATTCAAATCCCATAAACATTTCTAAGTACGTAAAATGCACAGAATTATGGGTAAACCTTGATAACCTACCCAAAGCAATGAGTGGTTTGTGGGAACAGCTTAGCAAAGCCATGTAAAGGAACGCGGAATGGAACCAGGTTTTAAGTCGCTAGTGGAGCTGTTTCATGGAGGGTGCACGTCTTAGCAAAGCAAGAGCTACTCTGTTCTGGTCGCTTCTTTAAAAATGTGGACTAGTGATATCGTTCTAATCTACAAATGATAAGTTGGAAGAATTAACTTTTAAGAGGACAGTAATTTGAATTGTTAACCCATAGTTCTATTAATTTTACAAACAACATATTCAGTATTATTTTCCTTCCGATTCAACTCCTAGAGGGGATGGGGTGTTGCATGTGAAGTCAGGAAAGCATATGGGATTGCAAGAAGACTAGGAAGCCCCAAGCTGAAGAAACATTTCAAATATTTAGAACCATTCTGGCGACAAGGACACAAACTTGAGACTCTGGAGCAATTTATTTTAAATGTCTTCAGCTGGTAATGGATAAATATATACAAAAACAAACACTGTGCTGAACAAATATAAAGTGTTACACTAGCAAATACACACACACACACATCTTGTAGAACACTCTGTTGATAGTTGTCTCCCTGTTCCCTCCTTTCAAACTCTCATCCTTCCACAAATACCACTTTACACAGAGCAGGAAAACTCTGCTCAACTTCCTCAAAGAGCAAATGTGGACCTGAAGTATCCTAAGTGAATGTACAAATGTTCTGCTGAAAATACTAAGTATAGGAAAATATTATGCAAATGCTAATTTTTATAAATGTATTAGTTAATGAAAAACTGGTCTGTTGCTTCTACAATTTCTATTTAGGTTGCCATGATTTGTATAGTAGGAATAATGTGGAATTGATATGTTTAGAGATATGAATGTGATATGATGAATATGAATAGAGACTTGGCATTTCACAAGCTGCAGTTAGAAACCTGGAAAAGAACATTAAATATATCTAAAAACCATTGCTAAAATTTTATGAGAGACAAACGAGTCTTTTCTATTCTTACAAAACTTACCCTAAAATGAAAGAAAGCAGTTCTGTGTGATATAACCTAAGATAGCCACTCTTAGGCAGTATTTAGAATGCAGATTAGAGTCATAGGAACTATAGCCTAAACCAGTCTTTAATATTCCACCTGCTAATACCTAAGATGACTTGATAGAAGGTTTATTTACATAATCTATTTTAATGGACTATAATTAGGAATAACTATTTTCACTCTTATTTTTACTTTCCACAAAATAAAGAAGACCATAAAGGACACTGGAAGGTTTTCCTTGTGTGTTTATTTATAATTATGATCTTAAATCATTCAGCAGTTGATGTCATTCAGGGGAGTTGCATACTGGGATACAGTTTACTATTAAGATTTTTCAACAGCAAATGGACTGCATTGACTGGCAAGTTTAATCCGTATCATTCTTAATTCAATACCCAAATAATATCCTTTGACAAGAGTGATCATGGATGTTTGTATTCGATATTATCAGACCAAACGAGATGTAATCTGCCTTCTTTTATACAAAGCACCTATATGATAACCAAATAGAATATGATTTTTTCATATTTTAAGAATTCTGTCAGCCGGGCGTTGGTGGCGCACGCCTTTAATCCCAGCACTTGGGAGGCAGAGGCAGGCGGATCTCTGTGAGTTCGAGACCAGCCTGGTCTACAGAGCTAGTTCCAGGACAGGCTCCAAAGCCACAGAGAAACCCTGTCTCGAAAAACCAAAAAAAAAAAAAAAAAAAAAAAAAAAAAAAAAAAAAAAAAAAAGAATTCTGTCTAGAAACACTGGAAAAGGCTGGGACATGCAATACTAAGTTAGTACATTGTCCAAAACTATCAATAATCTGGATGTAGCAAGACAAGAAAAGAATTCAGTGACAAACTACATAGTCACATAATGATGGCTTCAAGTATTGATAGAGCCCATACCATAGAATCTCAGCTGAAATAATGGAAATGTTATTTTAGCAGAAAATGAAATAATGGGTATTGAAAGTTATACTAAGAGGCTGGTAACCAGTAGTGTTAACCGTAGTATTAGTTAGAATTCCTGCAAGTGTTTAAGTGACTCTTTCTTTCTTTCTTTCTTCCTTTCTTTCTTTCTTTTTCTTTCTTTACAGAAAAACGGATCCCATTCATGTGCATATTCTTTGACTGCCAAACAGGAAGAAATATGAACTTCCTCACGAACATCTTGGACCAGTATTAATAAAGGTGAAATCTTTCCAGAAAAGAAACAAGTACAGTACGATTCAGAATAAGTTTGTTCCAACTGACCAAAGGCCTTCATCCAGAAGTCAGTAAGGGCATCATGATGCTGACAGGGTACAGGATGGCACAATAAGTAATCAAATATTTAATCCCTATGAGTACAAGCCACTCCTGTTTTGATATACATAAAAATTACTGGAGAGTTTATCTTAATATGTGCTTTGTCTATCTCTGTCTCAAGAAATTATCACTTACTGAGGACTCTGAGCTCAGCCTGAAAGTCACTTTGTTCTGAGCCTCCATATATACCCTTCAAAAATCGTGAATACTGAATAACTCTGAATAAGCAAATAAAAAGAAAATGTCATTAGGACAAATTCATTTCATCTTCACAGCCCACAAATTAAAGTCAGACCATGACTTTGACATTGAGTTTCTGCTGAATGATTGAATAAGTAAATCAGTGAATCTCCAACCAAAAAATATAACCTAGAGGGGCTGTGGTGGAACACTCCTTTAACCCCAACACTTGAGAGGCAGAGACAGGCAGAGTTTGAGGTCAGCCTGATCTATAGAATGAGTCCAGGACAGGCTTCAAAAAGCTACAGAGAATCTTTATTTTGAAACCACCCCCCCTCAAAAAAATATAACCTAAAATCTTTATGCTGCCTGATTTTCCTGTAGGTTTATCTTTACCATTATGTAACTTATTGATTGTTTTTATTGTCTTAAACCATTCATTCTCTTGGCTCATTAAATTGTACTATATTTGTGCCAGGTGATGATGACAACCACTCCTTGTGTATACACCATGAGCGCGACCTTGTGTATACAACATGAGTGTGACCTTGTGTATACAACATGAGTGCGGCCTTGTTTATACACCATGAGTGCAACCTTGTGTATACACCATGAGCGTTACTTTGTGTATATACCATGAATGCGACCTTGTGTATACACCATGAGTGTGACCTTGTATATATACCATAAGTGCAACCTCGTGTATATACCATGAACACGACCTTGTGTATACACCATGAGCGTGACCTTGTGTATACACCATGAGCGTGACCTTGTGTATACACCATGAGCGTGACCTTGTGTATGCACCATGAGCATGACCTTGTGTAAACACCCACCATGAGCGCAACCTTGTGTATACACCATGAGTGTGACCTTGTATATATACCATGAGCACAACCTTGTGTATATACCATGAGCGTGACCTTGTGTATATACCATGAGTGCAAACTTCAATAGCATCCTCACATCTGTCGCCTAATTTAGTAATGATCAAACATTGTCTGTTTGCTCAGAGGTGATTACAGATTATCACTAAAATGCGAATAAAATGAATAAAACATGCAGAGTACGTAATAGAAAGACAACCTATATGACTTCATACTGCAAACATTAGAACTCCTCTAGGGGAATAGACTATCAGTGAGTCCTAGAGTCGTGTGAAGGATTTTATAAAGAAGATTGGATTTCTTTTAAGGATAGGCTTGGTTTAGATGGTCAAGAAAAGACAATCCATACAAGAGAAAGAAAATGAATAAGTGCAGGTTAAAAAGAATCAGCTCTGGCTATTAAGGCTGCTTCCAGTGTGGTATGGTCATCAGAAATTAGTTAAGGTAAGCCACTAGCAGAAAGGAAAGAAAGAGAAATAAAAGACTTTCTGATATTTATATTGGATGAGGAAATAGTCACCCAGACTCCATAGGTAGATGTGTGTATAAATAAGCTATTGTGTATTTTCTAAACCTTGTGAATTTCATTTGCTATCTACAGAAATTATAGTATACTATTTGTCTTCTCTGTGTTACAATTCTGAAAGTATTCTTAAAGACACAATTTTCCAAGTAAAAACTATATTGTATATGTGCATATCTTTTCTATACACATTGTCATCATCTATGGAGAAATATTTATTTATGTATATATGATTCAGAGGTCCCTAACAGCCATGAAGTTATCCAGTTATGCTATATATAGAGATCTATGCTAGCTCATAGGCCCTTTGTGGACCTAAGCATCCATATGAATTGTGAAACTGAGAAGCAGTGCATAGTTTTATAGTCCTTGACCTGCTGACTTGCATGCTGCTTACATTGTGTAGCTGGATGCTTTGCTTTCTTACAATGTACCTCGGAAGACTTTGGTTGTAGAGAGCTGTGTGCCAATTCATCTCGTTGCTTGGAGGTTAACCATTGTGTCCATGTGGGCACAGATTCTTCTTTGAGAACGTTCTGTAATTTGTGTCCTCTCTACTGTAGGAAACTGTCCGTTTCTGCATGTGTTTGCTGAGCAATAAAGCATCAAACTGAAAGATCCATGTCCTTTGGCTTCTTTTCATTGAAATCATCCTTTTTGGATATAGCTTGACTCTAGAACATTTGCCCCTAACATTTCATATTGATACACTGTTATCTGGCATGTGCCACCGATTTTTTCCAGATAATTGTATGTAAATGCATTAGTACATACTTTTCAATTTTAGTAAGATATTTAATGTGTATTGATTGAACAATGACTAACTCATGCTATCCATTATCACACTGACATTAATGAGTTCATTTAATGTTAATACTAAATGAGGAGAAAATTACAGCTATTAACAAATAGTTGAAATTTGGGAACCTGTTTGGAGTAGTTGCTTCAAATATTTCTTATTGTCGCCTTTTCACCAATAGCAAAGTATACTCAAATATTTGTATGTAAAGCAGATTACTCTGGTTTTCATTCAATTCCAGATAATCTCAGACAGTGCTGCAACTGGAGAAACAGGTTTAGCCAAAACCTAGAACACACAACCAGCAAACAGATAAAATGTGCTTTGGCATATGAGAGGTAAATCATGCTCAAGCAAATCTCAACGTTGCCTGGACGACCCAGTTCTTTCACAACTGTACACAGAGGTTTAATTATGAGTAAGCGAGTGTGTGTGTGTGTGTGTGTGTGTGTGTGTGTGTGTGTGTGTACTTGAAGCCATGTAATTTTCAGAGGGCAAGAGAAGATTCATTTAGTTGCTTCAAGATTATGAATCACTAATACTATTCACCATTCAATGATACTTTCTTATACAGTGATACATCTTAAATATTTCGAGTTTTCAACTATCTAAGATAATTAGCTTCATGAGATTTCACCAAGATATGTATTCCCCTCTTCTAGGGCTTCTGAAAATGGCAATAAAAACAAATGAAAGCACACTTGCTCACCAAGGTCAGCCAAGGGCAGTAATTTTCTCAGTACCCGGGACACAGTGGACCAGCCCTTCAAGAATCTTTTGCTAGTGCGTGAGAATGGACGTGTTATAAAAGAAGAGACTGCAATGAAGATGAAGGATGACATATGACACTTCTTAGCTACAGTGCAGATCCCCCCACAGACACCAAGAAGTCTTAAAACTCCTCAGATTCCAACAACATTCAGTCATTGCCGTAACTTTAAAATAACTACAGTTTCACAATTTAATTGTACGTCCTCTGATGAAAGTCATTTGCCTTCCCCATCCCAGTCTCACAATGTTCTTTCTGCTGACATATCCCTTGTAAAAGGTGACTTTTATCACATCATTGTGAATAAGTACTTGCTGGTAGTGGCAGCATCTGGTGGTGTCTTGTGCCCTGAGGGCTTTGTGATTCTGTGATTTCGTCACAGCTGTGGTAGACAGGTTCACACACCCTGCAGTTCTTTTCTGTTGAGAAAAGTGAGATGAGAGCCTCCCTGGCCAGCATATGGTTCAAAGCTATGAGAAGCCTTCGGTATAAACAGAGATAGCCCAGAATTTCAAGGGAGTTAAGACACCTGGGCAAAGCAATCACATAGAGAAAGATGAAACCCAGTGGGAAATTTCCTCATCTTCTGGTGGGATACTTCTGAACTGGCTGTGCATGGCTAAGCTTCCACTGTCCATATGGAAAACAACCCCCAAACACCTTCCTTTCTCTTTTATCTGACTGCTTGCCCTCTGCTTTCTAGAGATCCTCCAACACGAACCATCTGTTTCCAAATCCTTCTTGCATGATCTACTTTATGGCCCCATCAACCACCAATGTTATAGTAGTTTTTAAGTTTTAAATTTAACTGTTCTCTTCATTATCTCTAATGGAGCCTATGAACATTTGACTCTCAGAGACTGTAATCAATACATTAAATACAATAAAATGGAAATGGAAAACCATAATTTATGAATGAACTAAAAGGGTGGAATTACATTTAAAAGTTGTCTTAAGATAACTGGCCACTCTGTGTATTTTTTTTCCAATGGAATGTCAAGAGTGAGGTATGACTCTGGAATCAGGCTACTTTCATCCAAATGGGATCCTTAGTTGGCTATGCCTCACTTCGTAAGACATATTCCTGAAAATATAAAGCATGATGATAATAACAGCAACAATATTATCTTACTAATTTTTTCTGGTTTAGAATAATGTCAATAGCTGGAACTGTTCTGTATATCTAAAATTATCCAAAAGAATATGCTTGCTAAAAAAAAACAAGCAAGCAAACAAAAATATTAGCAATGAATGCCCATTAAGTTCAGTCTAGAATGCTTCTTCTATATGCTCCAAAATTATTTTAGCACCAAGATAGATGCTTTCAAACATTAGCCAAATGGCAGAATTATGCAAACCTTCTTCTCAAAATGACTAACAATGTTCCTAACTGTCAAACACAATTTAAGTGCAGCGGGAAGGATCTTTGTGAGTGCATTGCGCTCGAGTCAGTAGGCTCTTTATTTCCTTATGTAGCAGCATAAGCCAGGAAGGAGCCCACAATAAAAATTGCCTCCCCCCATAGAATTGTTAGATGTATAAAATAATATTAAATAAAAAGAAAACAAATTTTTCCATTTAGTCCATACCTATATTACTCAATCATCATATGTGATGTGTCCTCCATATGACCTTTGGGAATCCTTATGTTCTCAGAAGCTGGAAATTACCTAAAAGAGTTTATAATGACTCTGATTTTTCCACGATAGCCTTAGAAAATTTTACATGGATGATTTAAAAAGGGGTGTTTCAATTTTTAGCTCATTCTCCAGTCCATAAAGTACATTCTGGAGATGGTAGGTTTATTAATTGTGGTAATTTTCAAGTTTTATGGAACACAAACTCTAACTACTGAACAAAAAAAAATCTGAAAAGCAATTGGCAATAGCAACAAGCACAGTATTTAAATCCAGTTCCTTATCATTGAACAAAGTTCTACAAAAATATCTGGAAATGATACTTTTTTTTTCCATGATGTTTTTTTTTAATTGAGAAAAGGAAAAAAAAGTTTCCGCCTTCTCCCAGCCTCCCATTTCCCTCCCCCTCCTCCCACCATTCTCCCCCTCCCCCCACTCCTCTCCCCCTCCCTCTCCAGTCCAAAGAGCAGTCAGGGTTTCCTGCCCTATGGAAAGTCCAAGGTCCTCCCCCTTCCGTCCATGTCTAGGAAGGTGAACATCCAAACTGGCTAGGCTCCCATTAACCAAGTAGACGAGGGCAAGAAAAATGATAATTATTTTTAAAAACAGGGATTAGTGAAAATGTTTCCAAATCACATATTTTGCCTTGGGTTTATTAAATAAAAGGAAAGTATTTTAGCATTTAATACTAGAATATTTTTATATGAATAAGAAGTTAATCATGATCAATCATTTTCTCTGGAATGGGTTCCATTGACTGCCAGAAATATTTGGGATGATTGAAAGAGTCAACACCTTCGCTTAGAATGTCAAGCATATTCTTCTAAATGTAAAGATGTAAAGAATGCACATGTAAATTTTCCATTGCCAGATGGAAGTTGCTGAGCTTTCTCAGCTATGGAACATCTGGGGTGTAGCTCACAGTTGCTCTTATGCACGCCAACATGACATAGCAAATAAGACGTTACTATGAATTGCTATACCTTATTTCATTATGTCATTTACATAAGGTTGGAAGTTTTATAGAAGTTAGTACTGCTGTTTCTTATGATTGGCATTACATAATCAGAATAATATAATGGAAACGCAAAAGGCTGAGGTGCTGTATCAGAACTGATACCTGCAGGAAGCACGTCCTGAGAGGGAAGATGAGCTGAGAACTAACTTAGCTTTAGAAGCAGAGTGGAAGCCCAGACCTGTGGGATACCAGCTTTGTAATGTATTTTATATTGCATAGCGGCATGTGTTGCTTATTAAGCTTGTTGCAAGCAGACATTGAAAGTGAGTGGGGTTCCCCACTCCAGACTCTAGAACATGTATTTCATGTGTCCTCCAAGGCTCCTTGATTAGGATTTGCCTGGACAACTGACCCTGAAACAGGGAGAAAAAAATAACAAAAGAGAACAAGAGGTGGCTAGAGAGATGGCTCAGCAGGTAAGAGCATTTGCTGCTCTTCTAAAGTACCTAGGTTTGAGTCCCAGCACCCACCTGATAGCTCACAACTGTGATTCTAGTTCCACAGGATCAGACACTTCCATGGGCACTGTATAAACAAACATTCAACATGTATACACACAAAACAAATAAATCTGAAAAAAGAGCCCAAAAGTAAAAATTATATTCATAATAATAGCTAAAAAGTATTCTAACCAGAGTTACTGTTGTTAATCTCATAATATAAAAAATGCCTGGGGGGAAGAGAATGTTCAAACTCATCTGTGGAGAAAATGTTCTGCTTGAACCTTTCAATTAGGACCTCCAACATGGCTGTTTCATCAGGGCTTCTCCAACTGATTTCTGATGAATGTCTGACTTGCTAATGATAGCCTTTCCTCTCTCTCTCTATCAACTGTGATACTTCTATAATTTCTGATTGGTGTTATGACCGCTTGATTTGTTGATGTTTGATTATCTATCTGATGTTTCTGTCTGTTAGTCTTCATCCTTTTATTTTTGCTTGCCTTGTACTTAACAAACTCATTTGTTCAAGTACCACTATCAGATCATTCTCTGCCTTACAAAGCAGCACTTATTTCTGAGATTGAACTTGGCATTTGCTTAGAACCGTTCACTGAATTGAGATTAGCAAATTGATTTCTCCGGATGTATGGGCTTTGTCTATGGGTGACAACTCCTCTTGTTAGCCTTGAATTTCATCCTAATATCATTCTAATGCCCAGCACACGACTTGTGACATTCCAAGTCCAGGTGAGGATGCTTATCTTAAAGACTGCTTGGTAATGAAAGCAATTGATCCTTTAAAGATTCTTCTTCCTCAGACTGAGTTAAAAGGTGTAAGACAGACAGACAGACAGACGGCCAACAACTGAGTATTGCTTTCTTAAAGGCTTTATTTTAATGTGGGCAGGG